CTGCTGCTGCTGCTGACATGCTCCTTATGCCATCCTCTCACCCTCATCATACTGGGGCTTGACAGGTGTCTCCCCTCTTAGAACAGAACATTGCTTCAGGTGGCATCATTTTAAAACAGGGTCTTCAGAAGTTAAAAAAAGAAAAAAAAAGGTGGACTGTCACAGAGCATCCTCAGCGATCCACCTTGCTTCAGCCAGTGTGTGAGAAATTCTTGTCTATTCTTTTTCTTTGCCCTACTTCTTATCTATGAACAGAAGGCAAGCTGTTATCTCTGGGCTGCTAAGAGTGAAAACAGGAGATTTGCTAATGGGATTGCAGGGCAGAAGAGTGAATGTCTGTCTGTTTTATCCATCTATCCATCCATCCATCCGTCTGTCCATCTGTCCATCTATCCATAAAAGTTTTTTAGATTCTCTGAGTGCTGTCAGAAGAGTACAGCAGAAGACCAAGAAGAGGTGGCCTCTGCCCTCATGGAGCTCACACTCTGCTGAACAGAATAAGTGGAGAGATTTAGTCACATGTTCCCAATTTACTTGTTTATTTTTTTTTTTTAAAAAAGCCAACTTCTAAGTCTGGGGTGGAAAGAACTGGAACAGGGCTGTGTTGGCTTAGGTCAGTGCAGTAAGAGGAAACACATTCTTCCTGGTTTTGATGCTGACTTTTGGCTCAGTAGGGGAAAGGAGGAAAATAATGCTAAGACGGTCCTCATTGCTTTCTTAAGTAGTGTGTGATAGTAAAAGTTACAAAGGAAGGGATGTGCCTATCAAGTAAGGAGCCATTGGTCAAGGCTTCTGGGTGGCTTGGAGGGCTGGGGCAGAAGGGGAAGCCCTTGCGGGTGGATNCGCGACACTGAGGGTTGCGATCCATTGCCGGTCACGAAAAAAGACAAAAAAAGGAAAAAAAGAAAAAGAAAGAAAAAGGAATTGTCTCACTGGACAAATCCCAATTGCCACACTTAAGAAAGAAGAATTATCTAATTGGAAGCTGTTTGACTCCTTAACATGTTGAGACAGTGAGCTAGTAGAATGGAATTTTTGCTTCTAATTGTGGAAGGTTTTTATATGACTCCAACATAATTGAGGCCATCGAGGGAGGCAAGAACCATGGATTTTTCAGTGTTATTATTGTATTTTTGTCTTTGTGGATTAATTTAAGTGGCTTTTGCTGGTAGGAGTGAGTCACAATCATTATTATCAAGCTTGGACAGGAACAATTAAGAGCTCCATTTTCCAGGATTGAGAGGATAAAGTCTTCCTAAAATTACTTTGTGGTAAAAGGTTGAATCGGTCATTTTTCACTCTCCTAGGCTATGATGTGGTTTATTATGGTTTATAAGAGTTAGAGCATTTACTCTTGAGGTGGAAGTCAAGAATCCCAATCACCTAAATGATCTGGAAAAAAATAAGGCAGGATAGAGGTAAGACAATAAGACAGGACACCCTGTCTACCAGCTGGGTCAGGTGCCATTTCATGGGCTCTGCCTCAGAGCTGACCACATGGACATCATGGGACAGCCAGCTAGATGGCCAAGCCACCGTGGCGGGGCAGGGGACACTGGAGACAGTTATGGGTTTCCTTGTCAGCATACCTGATTTATATGACTAATCCTAGCTTTGTTTTGCTCATTGGTTTATGATGCAACTTGAGGATGGGAGTGACCCCATCTGTCCACGTCCCTCCTGTCTGTGTAGTACTGAGCAGTCTCTGGAATGAGGATGCCTCGGTGGGATTTCTTTGACTTGAGGAGCCAGTGCAAGACCCTCCTCCTCCTGCTGCTGCTGCTGTTGCTGCTGCTGCTGTTGCTGTTGCTGCTGTTGCTGTTGCTGCTGTTGCTGTTGCTGCTGTTGCTGCTGTTGCTGTTGCTGCTGTTGCTTTTGCTGCTGGGCCGCACGGAAGA